AAATCCCAGAGGTTTGGAGTTTTATATTCCAGTCTCTTTCCGGGACTGGCACCAGTTGGTTTGCCATCTCAATAGAAGACCTGGAGTTAGAGAGGATAGGGAAACAGGACTTCCTCCCCACACCTGGAAGCGGCCACACTTGGGGAAAGAGTGTTTATATAAAAATCACTGAGCGAAAGACTCTACAGCTGCCTAGTCCATCATCTTTTGGCAGTATCAGCCTAGATGTTGCCCTGTAAGATAGGTGCTTTGATTTCACCTATTCCATGTGAGAGACCAATGCTTTTTCATTTAGGTATTAAGTGGAATTGGGTGACTCAGGTATTGAAGCTGTGGCCTCAGGTGGGAAACAAAATGTTCTCGCATCTCCTGTGGAGTATCCTGCAAATGACAGTGTAAAACGGGACCTGGATCAGTACTTCTGCTTTACACTGTTTGGCAGTTATGCAGGATTAAATTAGATTTCCTTTGCTAAATTAGTATGTTAGGCACCTGCCCAAGAGCTGTTTGGCCCACTTGCTTTTGACACAGGGCTAACAAGATTGAGCATGGTGTAGAGATTTTTGTTTTGTTTTGTTTTGACTTCTTTGTCAGACAGATACTCTGTTCCCTCAATGAGATGTTCCTTTGGCTTGATGGATGACTGTAAATTATTCGAGCAGTGATTCCATCTGTGCAATAGTTTGCATTGCTCTGCAGCCTTGAAGAGTAATTTTGAGTCCAGTCCTGCTCCTATCAAGTCTGCAGTCAACAGGAGTTTTATTGCTATGGGAGCAGGTTCAGAAGCGTAGCCTCTGCTATCATTGCCATACACCTACTGTATTTTACAAGTGCACCATAGGTTAAAAGTTGTACAGGACTCTGAAGATTTAGCATCAGTAGAGGTCTTAGAGTTTATCGAAACCTCATTTCTGAAGCTAAGAAGTTCAATACTCTTCCTCGAAGCCAGCAGCTCCCAACATTTGATTTAACATATCAGCTTCTTAAACTGTGATAGGAACAGAATATTAAGCTCATATGTCACCAGTGGTACCTGTGCCATAGTTTAGGAAATGAAGTCTAAGCAGTTTCCAACAAATCCTAAGGTTAGTTGAGAATAGGCAATGCCTTGGTACTTGGCATTTAAAGTGCTGTTCTTCTGGTTGCTGTTTTCTTGCATATTCTATTGTGTTTCTAGAACCGGCAGCTTTAGCCCTTGGAAGTAAGAAACTTTTATCTGAAATGAGGTAGTTCAAAGTGAAGTTCTACAGTCAAAATGGCTTACTAAGACTAGCTTGGGTCCTCTGCAGAAGCCCACATCAAACCCTGTTCCTTTTCAAAGCCAGATTCCTCTGCAGACTACACCTGGGTTCTGAAAGCTGAACTTCCTTGCCTTGTAACATGTCCTTATCTACAATAACCATTCTGTATGCTAAATAGGGCCCTCAAACTGTATTCTGTATGCCAGGGGTCAGCAACGTGGCACTTGAGGCCATTTTGCTTGGCGCACCGCGGCCAGCCCCGGCTCCAGGCAGCTGCTGCCAGTGACCGAGCCTGGGGTGTCCCCAGTGCAGCATCCCAGCTAGCTGCTGGGAGCAGCCCAGGATCCTGGCTGGTAGCAGCTCCCCAGAGCTGGGGCCAGCTGCAGCTGGGAGGCTCCAAACAGCTGTGCCGGGCTCCGGCATCAGCTCCACCAGCGGAGCGGGCAGTGGGGGGGGGGCCTGAGGCAGCCCTGGTCTCTCGTCTGCTCCCGGCACGGAGATGATGAGCCCAGCGCAGCTGTTTTGTAGCCAGCCTGGGCTATGGGCAGTGGCAGCAAGTGGCCAGCCCTCACTCTGCAACGCTGGCATCAGCTCCATGCTGGTGGCAACTGCGTGTGCACCTTGGGGCGGGCAGCGGGGCACAGTGTTTCTTACCAATGTTAGCTATGCAGTGTTAGGTAAAGATAGATCATGGCAAATGTACTGCATTCAGGAGAGCCCTTAAATGCATAGAGAAAACAGATCTTTAGAACAAGATGTTGTTTGTATATAGTTGCTCTTAGAGGTACAGTGGGAACAGTGATGACTTTTGATGCAAGTATGGGAAAAATGTTGTTAAATCCCTGCCTTGCAGAATGATCAGGATTAGTTTCCTGTATCAAGATCTAGGACACAGCAGTGAATGGCCTCTTTATCCCCAAACTACAAGCCCCTGCCCCCCTGTCATAAAGTAATTTGTATGAAGTTCTGCATTGTGTGCATTTCAGGAAGTTTGGATTTTAAGGACACATGCAAACCCCTCCTGCCCTTTAACTTAAAAAGCGAAATATTGCAGACTACCAGGAAGGTGCTGGGAGCAATTTAAAATTACACAAGCAAGTTTGATGCTTTTCTTAAGAAGACAAAAACCCTGTGGTGCACATGTGGGTGCTGTACCAGCTTCCCTTTATAATTCTGCCAGCCTGCCCCTTAATCCTCCTTTGCAGCAACCCTATTATTACACACCCCTTTAGGTAGGAACTGACAATTCTGCCTGGTTAAGGGATCATCTTGTTGCTGTAATTTTTCTGTTTAAGGTCTGTTTGCAGGTTTAAGTAAGTAGCAATGGAGAATTCAGTCTTCTGATTTCTTTTTCCTGCTAATGAATACTTACCACACATACTCATTAGAAGATGAGGTTCTCCTTGTACCCCTATATCTAACATAGGGGAGCAGGGAAGCCACCTTGCCTTACAGTTGAGTACAAGGCAGTGGAGGGGGATGCTCAGGCTGCGGCTCTGGTTCCAGCTTTGGTTCTGGCCCCAACCTGCTGCTGCTACAGGACCAGGCTGGAACAGCAGTGCCAGCTCTGCGCCACTGCTACAGGACCAGGCTGGAGCCATGCTCTGTGCTCTGGGCTGCAACAGGAACAGAGCTTGCTGGTGTGGAGCAAAAGTTAGTGGGGGGGAATGGCAGGAAGTGGGGCAGGGACCTGAAGCTGCAGGTGGTAGGAGCAGCATGGAGAGGGGATGAAGGGGGAATTGGGGCAACCTGAGCCTGTGGGGTATGGGGGAGCAGGCACAATTGGGGATAAGTGGTGGGGGGCAGGCAGCAGGGGCAAGCTGCCTGCCTCTGTCGCTCCCTGCCCCACTACCTCCACACTGCCTACTTCTACCACCTACCCCCCACCTGTCCTACTACATTTCCCCCCACCCCACTGGCTCCCCCACTGCCTGCCCCATTATTTTCCCCCTTCATCACCTCTTCCCCCTACCACATGCAGTAGTGGTGGGGTGGGGATGAATTTAAGATAATCCTCCAATAATTAGATTCCATTCATGGAAAATTATGATATATATTATGATTATTTTTTTGTGTGTGTGTAGAATCAAATTATTGGGTGGAGGAGCTTTACATTCAGGGTCGTCTTGTATTCGAGTATATATGTTAATTCAAGACATGCTTGAGTAAGATCAGCATACTTTTTCAGGCTTAACAAAGTCTGCAGAATCACTTGAACAAAGTTCAGTTGCTTATTCCCAGTTTGCCTGGTGCTTTAAAAATATTCCACCAGAAAAACAAATTCTGACACGTGATATTTCATTGCACAAAAACAGTAAACTGGGATTGACTTTTATGGGTCCAGCAACTGGTATGTGAGCCTATTCCTATGACTGGACCATATGTCAATGTAAATATTAATCAAAAGTCAGCGTAAACATTGATCTTTACTCCTCTCAGTGGCTTATTCTCTCTGCATATTTTTGTTTTTGGAAGAGTTTTGAGACTAACTTGTGAATGGTTCACAGAACTTTAGTTTCCCAGTCCCACTATTACTATCTGTCCAAACCTCTGCCTTTGCATTTTCCATATCAAACCCCCTGTTTATAATATGCACTATCATTTGTGGAATAAGATGTTAGTATTGAAATTCATTTTTAAAAGTTCAATGTCATAGCATATAATGTTAGTTTTTTGTTTTGTTGGGTTTTTTTAACCTCAGTGGGACACATGGTGATGAATCTGACAAAGATTTGGGAGTTGGGGTGGAACAGATTATCCTGCACCTTGAGGCATGTAACACTTTAGAAACAACAGCAAAGATGCTTTTTAAAAGTGTTTATTAATTAATATTTCTGGCTCAAATTTTCCAACACGTACTTTGCTATTAGTATTGGTTGTACAAAGCCTTGAGTGTGTTGAAAGCACCAAACTGAACTTTAAATCAGAACTATTTAAAGCTAAAGGAAAATATTTAATTTGTGCCATTTACATAACTTTGCATGTTGTACATAACATGTCTTTCTTCTACTCTGCACATTAGTGACTTCTGTTATGAAACTGGAGGTTAACTGCACATTTTTAATCACCTTGGTTTGTTTTTTCTGTAGGCTTTGGCAACACATTAACACACTTGTAACTGTTAGACTCTTGCATCCTTATATACAGAACCGTTTGAAATAACCTTTTGATCTAGCAACATTGGCCATCTTAGCAGTTAAAAGACTAGACCTGGGTATCTGGCATAGAAGAGCTCTCAAAGGGATGCTGTCAAGTGCATCCTTCCCAAGGGCACCTCTTAAGCTCTGCTGATACAGGTAGAAATAAAGGCTGTAAGCTGTGTTTTCAGGTAGGAAAACTGCTTTGAATTGTCTAACCTTTCAGAACATTTTGCTGAACAAAGCCTAGCTGATTCACTGCTGGCTTCTTAGGAAGAGTCTCTTTCCTTCTCTCTTTCCATCTTCCCCTTTT